GGCCTTGAGCCCAGGCCATTTGTCCCTGGCTGGTGGCGGGAGCTTCTCCCGCAACTCCTGGAGCTGGCTCCGGGCAGCCAGGGACAGCAGCAGGCTCTGGGTCATCTGGGCAATGGCCTTCTTCACCGTGCCATTCTCCTGTGGGGGCGGGCGATGAGGTGGCGCGTGGGCTAGCAGCAAGGCCACCCCACTGCAGAGAGGCCCATCTCACCCGAGGGACATGGCCTCTCCAAGCCTGCCTGAGGCTGTGGGCTTGGATAACAGAGTGGGACGTTGTGGGGGCTGCTGGGGGATGGCGGGACCAGGACTGGGCATCGGCGTGGGAGTGGGCTTTCCAAGGCCAGCTGAGCTGCTGCCTGCTGCAACAGGAGGGGCCCATGGAGCAGGTCCAGGCCTAGAGAGTGTCTTCTCCTGGGGCCAGGGGCCCAGTGGGAGGAGGGCTAGGGTCCCAGCCCCTGCCCGTGGTCTCCCAGGGCTTCCTGAGCTGGGTGAGGAGCAGCAGGAGGCAGGGAATGCTTCCACTGTCCCCTCTGCCCTGGGGCTTCCTACCTCCACCAAAGCCCAGGGGCAAGCTGGGACCAGCAGAGGTAGACAGACTCCAACCACCTCTCAGCAGGCCCCCACTCTGAGAACAAGAGGGCCAAAGCCAGGAGAGGGACATGGAGATAGTCACCTGGTCCCTGAGCCACAGGTCCCCCCTTCCCATGTGCTAAGCTACCACAGCGTAGGGAAGGGCAAAGAGAGCCTTGGGAACATGACGGGACAGGACCACTGCAGAGCTGTCCTGAAGACCTCACAGTTCGAGGGGCCTGGCCGGGGACTGAGAGGGGCTGACCTCGTCGCACTGGGTGACACGGTGCGTGATGGCCTTCAGCTCGGCCATGGCCTTCTCATCCTGGAAGTCATAGGGGAAGGCCTCCGTCCACTCCTTCAGCAGCTGCACGATCTTGGCAGAGAAGGACTTGAGCCTGGCCTGGGTGGCAGAGTGTGGTGTGAGGCCCACGGGCCAGAGGAGGCAGCAAGCTGGTCAGGAGCCTAGCTCTCCCTGGGGCCTCTGCTGGGGGCCGTGCACCTGCGTGCCACCTGCAAACCCGAGCCATCTGCATGACTCCTGCCCTTTGTATTCCTCTGCAACCAGCTTCCTTTTTCACTTAATAAATTCATTTTCCAAAAACCAACCCCCCTGACTACCATGTATTAGATAACTAGTTACATTTGCTATAATTAGAAGTTTCCCATTAACAGGACACAATGATAATCAAGCAAAACCATAATGTGAAATGAAACTCTCGTCCGCCCCCTCTCGGTGAAGAGCAGGTTGGCAAGTGCTGCCAAAGGGGCGGAGATATGACTGTGTGTCCTGGCCAAGGCTCACGACCCTTGCCCATACCCCAGCACAGGGCCACTGCCCCAGGGCGGGGTGGGGGGCGGGAGTGCCGACGGCTGGGCTACCCACACGCTGCAGGAACCAGAGCCACCTCGCCCCCTCCCTGCGAAGCTAGGACACGGCTCACCTCAGGCTCCCTCTCAGGCTCCTACTGACCTCAGGCCATGACCTCACCACCCGCCCACCCTGCTGGCTGTTTTCTACCTGCCCCATCAGGAACCTTTGCTGACCCCCAGGCCAAGTCAGGGCCCCTGTCTGCCCCTGCCCAGCACAGCCTGGGCCACCCCCTGGACCATGTAGGGGCAGGTGTTCTGGGCTGTACCTCCTGGCCTGGACTGCTCAGCAGGTGGAGAACAGCAGGGATGCACACCTCCAGCAAGGAGGCCCAGCTGCCGAGGGCAGGGCAGAGGGGCGGAGGCAGCAGCAGGGAACAGGCACAGGCCTCACTGCATGGCAACCCAGACGCAGCCACACTTGCTGGGTGGTGCACTCTGTACTGGACCCTGGGCTCTGAAAGCCATGCCAAGTCCATGCCCTGAAGGGCTCTGGGAGAGCTCTGATTTCCCAACCGAAGCCTGGCCCTATCCAGCTGAGACCCGCGAGGTAAGAGTAGCAGCAGGCCCTGTGTGGGTCACTGGAAGCCTCCTCGTGAGCTGCCATCTGACCCCACAGCTTCTCCACCAGCTGGACTTCAGGGATCTGGCTCTGGCCAGGTGGGCTGTCTGGGGGCTCTTGCCTGAGAAGGGGTGGTAGTGCCCAATGGCAGTTAGTCTAGCAGCCTAGGAGGAGGGTTTGACTCGGGGCACCCCCCTAGACAGGGGCATCCACCACAGAGGTGCCCAGCAGGGCCTATCTTCTCTCCCAGTGCCAGTGAGAGGGCAGCAGGGGAGCAGAGGACTGCGCCTTACCTTCTCAGGCCCGGCCTCGAGCTTCTGCCTCTGCTCCAGGCAGATCTGCCCCACGCGGGCCAGCAGGTCATGGGGGGGCATGAAGGCCAGG